GCGAAGCCTCAAGGAAGTTAATAAGTGAACGCTCTTAAGAATGGTTAAGTTCCTAAAGAAAAGACGGAGCGTTGGTGGGTGACAGACCCCCTAAAAACGGCTAAGTTCCCAAAGAAAAAAAAAAGAAAAAAAATAAGTGTAATCTTCGACGAAGCCGTGGGGAGGGTTGGTGGGTGGCAGACCCCCTAAAAATGGCTAAGTTTCCGAAGAAAAAAAGGAAGAAAAATAAATGTAATCTCTGGCGAAGTCGTGGGGAGGGTTAGTAGGTGGGAGACCCCACAAAAACGGCTAAGTTCCCATAGAAGAAAAAAAAAAATAAGTGTATTCTTTGGCGAAGCCCTCGGAAGGGCTGATAGGTGGGAGACCCCCTAAAAACGGCTAAGTTCCCGAGGAAGAAAAAGAAGAAAAATAAGTGTAATCTTCGGCGAAGCCCTTGGGAAGGTTAGTGGGTGGGAGACGAAAAAAACACGGCTAAGTTTTCGTAGAAGAAAAAAAAAAAAAAAAAAAAAAAGTGTATTCTTCGGCGAAAACCTTGGAGGGTTGGCGGGTGACAGACCCCCTAAAAACGGCTAAGTTCCCAAATAAGAAAAAAAAGAAAAATAAGTGTGAACTTCGGCGAAGCCTTGGGGAGGGTTGGTAGGTGGGAGGCCCCCCAAAAACGACCAAGTTTCCAAAGAAGAAAGAAGTATAATCTTCGGCGAAGCCCTGGAAAGGGTTGGTGGGTGGAAGACCCCCTAAAAACGGTCAAGTTCCTGAGGAATAAAAAGAAGAAAAATAAGTGTAATCTTCGGCGAAGCCTTGGGGAGGGTTGGTGGGTGGGAGACCTTCTAAGAATGGCTAAGTTCTAGAGGAAGAAAAGAAATAAAAATACGTGTAATCTTCGACGAAGCTCTGGGAGCGTTGGTGAGTGGCAGACCCCGTAAAAACGGTTCAGTTCCCGAAGAAGAAAAATAAGTGTAATCTTCGGCGAAGCCGTGGGGAGGTTGGTGGGTGCCAGACCCCCTAAGAACTGCTAAGTTCCCGATGAAGAAATAAAAAAAAAATAAGTGTAATCTTCGGCGAAGCCCTGGGGAGGGTTGGTGGGTGGAAGACCCCCTAAAAACGACTAAGTTTCCAAAGAAAAAAAAAAAAAAAAAGTGTAATCTTCGGCGAAGCTTTGGGGAAGGTTGTTGGGCGGTAGACCCCCTAAAAATGACTAAGTTCCCAAAAAAGAAAAAGAAGAAAAATAAAGGTAATCTTCGGCGAAGCCGTGGGAAAGGTTGGTGGGTGGGAGACCCCCTAAGAACGGCTAAGTTCCCGAGCAAAAAAAAAAAAAATAAATAAGTGTAATCTTCGGCGATGCCCTGGGAGGGTTGGTGGGTGGCAGACCCCCTAAGAACGGCTAAGTTGCCAAAAAA